GTATCCGTCCGCCTCGTCGTCCGAGTCTCGCGTTGTCATCCTATCCATCAAATCGTTCAAGTTGTCGTTGTCCTCTGCACTGGGTCTTTCCTGGGGATCCTCCTCAATCCAATTCACCTGACGGTTCCACAACAAATTTTTGAGCTTGAAACATTTGCGCCTAATATGACCTAGCATGTCGCAGAAATCGCAGATCATGTTCGCGTACTTCGATTTGTTTTTCGGCTGATTCCTCCTAAACACGCTTTTGTCTGTAGAACCAGCACTGGCTGTACCATGGAACTTTGGCCTGAAATCCAACCCTTAACTGATGCTTTGTTAAGTTTTCTCGCATATTGATAAGTTCTCGCCAGTTTATCCAGTTTTGTAGCAGGCCTCAGCTAATAATTAAGAGTTTGCAAAGAACCAACCTGACCAGCGTCGCCGTCCCTGTTCGGAGATTCCGCATTGTTCGATGTCATTTCCCAGGTTGCTACAACTTTTTCGACTGTTTCCAAACCCGAGCAGGAACGAATATCTCCATACCTTAAATTTGTATGGATGAGCCTGACATAAGAGGTAAAATACCAAAAAATAATACCAAAAAAATGTTCCCACAATACCATTCCAATACCAAATTATGATAATGCAATACCAAAACAATACCACCCCGGTATTCTTTTGGTATCCAAATATCAATGTATTTTCCATGTAATTTTTTGGTATTATTCTTTGGTATTTTACCTCTTATGTCATGCTGGTCAATACCAAATTTTGGTATCAGATCAGAATAAGGTATTCATTAGTTATTTTCTCCTGCTCGGGAAGTGGGGTTATCCTCATTCAAGAGACGCTGTTGCAAACGCTTGTCATGCACCCCGGAAATGATGCGATCCCTGATCGCGGAATTCTTAAAATTTCCAAACTTGCAAAACTCCGCAAGAAGTTTTACGGCGAGAGTAAAATCCTCCACTGACCCATTGGGCTGCTGTTCCCTATTGACCACTTTGTCAAGCAGTTTTGGCGTGACTTTCTACCAACGATAACACAAAACTGGACAAACTAATTTCTATTTTTTTATGAAACGCACAAATGTTTGCTACTTTTATCGTGGTTCTAGAAGAAAAAGTCTAAAAAAAATGTTTTATTTCAAAGTTCGAGTGGTAGTAAACGTCATTTTAACTGCTAGAATGAAGTGGTTAATTGTTAAATTTCATAAGACACCTCGGACAACTCAGTGTTAGGAAACAAGAGTTTCAACACAGTAAAAACTGTTGGTCTACTCATAGTAATAAAATACGCTCTGTAATCACTTTCTTTGACCTTGTTCATCGAGAAAGAATAGGTGAAGCGTTCAACCCAATCAGAAAACTGTTCCGCCTCGGTGGTACAACTCAATTGTGAACGCCATACTGGATTGTGCCATGGTACGATTTAACTGCTCTCATCCTTAAGCGGCACATGGTCGCCTCCGATACTACCAGTGAGCACCGTATCAGGTTCCTTTTTTTCTGGGGATCTCCGCTTGGTCGTCAAATGGAACGCCTCAAATTTTTCTTTTAAACGCAATCTTAAACTGTACCTAGCTAGGTCCACAGACTATCAATCTAAATGATCTTTTAAATCCTACGAACTTCTAAACTAAAGTAAAAAGAGAAAACACTCTTAATGCCATGTAAATTAACGGTTATAGTCCTATCTAATCACTTCCAATCGATCACTGTGTGCTTTGTCTCTTTTTTTTATTGGGGGAATAAAAAAAACAAGGTTACCAATGCCTCTAAACGCACAATGGCGTCGGTAGCAAGAAACACGTTTTTTATTTGTCGGAGGGTTTGGAAACTATTTTGCTGTTTTTTTGCAATTCATTATGACCTCCAAACGAAATCGTTACCACGTGTTTGAAGTAAACCGCAACCTCACTTTCGCGGTAGCATTGGTTCACCGTCGATTTTTCACTCGTTTGACTGGCCGAATGCACTAGAAAAAAAAAATTTAACTCGTCGCCACTATTTTATATTATTAAATACCTTCTTGTTTTGATACAGAGAAGTTCCCGGGAGACTGCGATAGAACGGTTGTAATGAAGAGGTGTGATTACGTTGACGAACCAAACTAGAAAGATACCTTGTTTATAACTCTTTCATACAATCGCTTGTCTACTCGCACTGCAATAATAGCATACACGCTATTTCAAAACTACCCAAATTTGGGTAGAATCCACCCAGATCTGTCAAAACTGAACCTACCCAAAAATGGGTAAACTATGTTGGTAGTAACAAGTTGACATATGAACAAAGTCGATCGGATTCATGTCGATTTTGTCCATTTGTCAACTTGTCCCTCCCAACATAGTTTACCCATTTTTGGGTAGGTTCAGTTTTGATCGGTCTGGGTGGATTCTACCCCAGTTTGGGTAGTTTTGAATAGCGTGTAGCTCATTTGACAGCCAGAAGGGCTTTTCGTGCAGTAGCACAGTTAACGAAACAGGCTAGACTAATTCAATTATAACACTTACATATGTATGCAAGGCTTGTGCTACATTACCCCGAATGGCAGCTTCCTCGAATGAGATTTTGCCATCTTTTGACTGCTGCTCGTTCTTTTCACATTCGGAGTAGGGGAATTTAGAGTGATGGCGTTCGAGTAAGTGATATTCGGAGTCGTGTCTAAATCTAAAATGTCTCTAAATTGGACCACGTGGTTTCTGGATAGTAAGTTATTATTCGATATGTCCCACTTCATTCTTGATTACATTCTCCAACCGATGCGATGATGGCGGAATCGAGAGCACGTGAAATTCTATCAAAGTTTTGCATGCCATGGTAAAGGAAGCTTTTAAGAACAGGGTTCAGCAAAGACTCATCTGGTCCATCATTTCACATTTTTAGGGGGCTCAAATGTCATCCAGGATCCACGCAGATGTGGAAATTTAATTCGATGCATTTTTATGAGTATCATTTACATCCACTTTCAAGTAGATCATCAGTTGTGTGTTCGAGATAAGGCGAGATGTGGAAAAAAAAGTACGATTAAAAGGCTGCCCATGTCCTTAATGAGTAACACTAATGTCACTATATTTATAGTCTGGCGGACACAAAATTCCACAAACTGGCAAATTTGATTTGTAAAATTTTCAAATTTACATAACGTTTTCGTCGAGGTTTTCGTATTACGTTATCGTCAAAAAATATCGACAACTTACACTTTTCAACGCATATCTGCAATGCATTTCCCAAATTAAAATTAACGTTCCATCCGTAAAAAATAAACTCTCAAAAAGTATATTGTTTGTCATCTACACATTAGCCGTGTCGATGTTCTTCGTGAAAAACTTAAAAATAGCATTCAGCAACGCATTGATAAATTCACACCGAGATTATCATTGTGTGTGCCACGAAGTGAGGGTTGTTGTGTGTTGTCCGTTGTATAGTGTTGAGTGTTCAGTCTGTACAACCTCTGGTTGACGACGATGTGAATTATCTTTAAAAAGAAAACATGTAGGGGAATTTACGTATTCTCGTCAATCTAAGCAGCGTCCGCACTTCTATTAGCATTTTGTCAGCGTTACCCACATATATCACGTGTCTGTTTGTTAACATTCATCTGCTGCTTGCTTTTCTATCCATTCCAATCGACAGAATTTTTCAAACCGGTTTGAAAGCGATTTTACAACGCTTCAAACTTCTCAGGTGAGTGTGACTATTGTCGGCAGCCTCTTTTTCTTCGGCAACCTTCCCATTAGAACTGCGTGTTAACCAGCTGTTCTATTATCGGCAACTCGAAATCAGCCCCATTTTGTAGTGCGTATACTTCATTTGAAGAAAAATCTGGCATAATAGGATTGCTCGGTCGTACAAATATAATCAGATTGAAGCTGAAAGACTAAAGAATCGTTTGAATACATTCAGGGAAGTGTGTTGATCGGAAAACTAGTGAAATTATCGTTTAAATTTTGGTTGCCGAAAACAGTCAATGGGTGCCGAAGCCAACATTTACCCTACGTCGATATCAAGGGGCTTCTTTTTACCAAAATTTAACGTTCTTCTTTCAATCACCCTTGGGTCCGATTAGAGTTATGACACTCAGCTCCTTCGAGCTGAATAAGATAAAACATTGGCTTCATCTAAACTGGCCTGGGAAACTGGAGACATTAGACTTAGGTAATGGCTCCCAATATCATAACTGTAGCGTGATGCAATTCCACTGAATTCCACGTTCTCTGGAACATGCTCGATCTGTTGAGGTGGAAAAGCTGGTCCGTGCGCGTATTACTTTGCCATCCAATAACAATTCTTCTTCATGTTGCTTAGTGGATGTTCCCCTTAACCCTTTTTGTTTTATCAAGGTGTGAATTACTTTTTGCAAAAAAAAAGTGTGACTCAATTTTGCAAAAGTAGGCTCAGTTTTCAAATCTCAAACCTCGGAAAATTCAATTCACTTTGTGAGTAAATTGCTTTTTGCTAAATTGAGTCAAATTCAACTATATTTTGAGTCGGTCTCATCGTCCGTGTAGGTGAAGCATTTGTAAAAATGTTGTTTTGTGTGAAAAATACGTTTCGAATGCGAAAATATGGGCGTTTATTTTGTACCTATGCTAAATGTCATAAATTTTTTTTAACGAAACGGATTTCCAGTATTTTGGGTAAGGGTGCATTAATAAATGACGTTACGCGGAATTCAAGAAAAAATAGCTATCCTTCCCTTTGTCGTGTTTTTCCTAAATCTTATGCATTGCATTCACCACTCTCAAGGAATAACTGATGAAAATTACTCAAAGGACATCGTGGCATAATAGCTAAGTAGTATAAGAAGATAATTAAAAAATAAAATACTACTGACTTGGCAGAATACGATGAGCTACAACTTCCGGAGCTATCTTCAAAATCGGACATCATCTATATTCTTTTAGAATAACTATCTTGCTTATTTTTCCATTATTATTCCGTTGAATATTTTATTTTGGTTCGGTCATAATTGTGTAAAAATAGTCATGATATATTACTCAAACATATTTCTAGACATCACTCTCCATCGAATCAATCTTGTCCGCCTCCGTCTAACTCATCTAGCCGTCAATCATCGTCCGCATCTAGTGGTGGCCTATCTACGGAGCAGACTACGTCGCATTCCCGCTCCAACCGAGGAATCAGTAGCAGCAGTGCTAATAATCCTTCAAGCAACAGTGTTACGAGTGGAAATAATAATCCCTCATCTTCATCCGTTTATCAGGCGCAGCAGCAAACTATCTATAACACCGCCCACCAGGTAGAGTAAATAACAGTCATCCCTATAAATAATAGGAATGCTTTTCCTAACAACTAATCTATGTGTAAGCTATGTATATGTTTAACCACTCATCAGAAGAAACCCATACGGTCACCTACATCCAAATTCATCCAAATTGATAGGCTATTCATTTTCGACCATGATTCTAACGTTCAACTTACGGTGACCTTTCACCCAATAACGACAAACTTTACTTTCCGATCAAACTAGATTCCACTCTTGTTGGAGCATCACCAACAGGAGCACCATTCCCAACAGCAGCTACAGCCGCATTCGCAACAACAGCCACAGGCGCATCACCTACGGCAAACATCTCCAACCGTCTCGTCACGTTCCCATCTGTCTCACTCGGCACGTGCAGCGGGCGGAAATCCACCTGCCTCTCATTCCCACCATCCCGGTCCGCTTTCCCATCACCATCAATCACTGACATCCGCGGCTTCCTCACATGCGCCACCATCGCAGCAGCAGCAACCGCTTCCGCAACGGCAGCGACACTAAGTCAGTTTTAGTAGGCTTTATGGAATATATATAAATAGGCTAAAGGTTATGGCACCCTCTTTTGAGTACAAAATGGATGATAAATTCTCTTCGTAACCTACAGAAAAGTTTGCTGTGAAGCCGCACAACACGGTTTGATGCTTCGAATAAGACTGTAAGACAGATCAGGCACCCGAAATCGAGGTGCATGCCAAATTTTAAGACTTAAATGCACCGAAACACACCGACATGGATCATACTGCACAGTTGCAATTCATATCTAGTGCCGAGGAAAGTCCCACTAGCATATATCTACTATCCCTAGCGTTGGAGGTTTTTTTTTTAAAGTAGCACAATCACAGCACAGTTTTTGAGGGTTTCTGACTTGGTGATACATTCTCCAGCATGCTAATAACTTATACTACACTTAAAAAACTGGTTGTCAGTTTTCCATGTAATTCTGTCAGCAAATCGCAGCGAAATTCTCCTCGAAGACAATGCATCAATAGATCGTAACTGCTCTGCGGAATTGTCATAGCTTTGGTTCATACAATGAATTCATAACAACATTCTACGAGAAAAATGCGGATACAACCTTATTTGAGGGGGTCAGAAGGAAAGGGATGTAAATGACTTTGATCGGTTCTCTTCATAGACTTTCTCTTTTGATAGTCACAGCTTTACAGACAGATTTTGCGCTATTTCTGCCACATAGTTTGATAAAGGAGCTTCTCATCTGTCATCCAGAATGGCACACGAATCAAGGAATGTGTTTGCAGCTGAATTATTAACGAAAGAGAAAGTCGATGAAGAGAATCGATCAAAGTCACTTAGACCCTTTTCCTTCTAACCCCCTAATTTAAGATAAAGATCATTTCGATTATAAGTACGTGTCGACCGCAGATCAGCTTCAATCATCTGATACCGTGAAGATCCATCATTTCGCGCATCACTTAACTTCGCTCATTTTGTAGTGTATGTATTGTGATATTTTCTAAATTTTAATTTTTCTCATACACTAGTGAATAATGCCTATCTGCATTTTCAACCCAGTTTAAATATCAGCATTAAACTTTTTTAATGTGTGAAATTAGGAACTAGGTGCGTGAATTTATGGAAATCCATGCGGATGGTTTGACTAACGATATATGTTTACCGCTTACCTTTTTTTTTTTGGTTTTACCACATTTTTCACACAGAGGGCAACATGAGTTGGTCACAAAAATTAACCATTTTATATTTGTTCCAATCCTAGTCACTGTGCCACGATAAGGATCCAGGATATGATAGTATACAACTTCGTTACGCCGTCTAATGTTCAAACTTCAGTCTTCTGCGGGCCTCGCATGTTATCTAAATCTCTATGAAAATTTATGCATGCATGGCCGAAATGGTTGGGAAATGCACAGAATGCAACTGAAAATATGAACAATACACACAGATGGGTACAGCCATTGATAAAATGGGGGTTGGTTACCACTAGGTTACCTATTGCGTCTTAAAGCATCGCAGAGGGTCTTCTGTTTTTTTTCGCATACACAAGTTTTTTTTTCTATAACTAACAACTCAAAGTAGCACATTTTATGGGAGTAGTCGCTTGGCATAACGCCCATTAGGCATAACTGTAGTTTGGTATAATAGCCATTTGCCAGAAACGTAGAACAAATCATTCTATAGCTTTTATCGATATTTTCTTCAAAAAATATGAAAAAAAACAGCTCAATTGAAATGGAAATACCCACTAAATGATAATTTTCTCTTCTTGTGGGCTGTTGAAGCCCATGAAAAAATAAAATAAAAGAATTATTTATCGGTATGAGTAGCGTTTTTCCGCATTTATGCTCAACGGCAGTTATGTCTAATAGGCATTATGCCAAACAGCAGTTATGCCAAATCGAGGTGGACCCCGTTTGGCATACAGTCGTTTGGCATAACACTTGGAAAAATGGTTACTTGATGTTGCTAAGCGGTAACAAACCTGTAAAAAACAAACCATTATTTTGGAATTACGTATCTTTACAACATTTCGAATATATACTGCGTGGCATTTCGGATTTATTAGATTATATTAATAAACTGATTTTTAGTTACAACATTTTCCAGAATAGTTTTCATTTCCTGGAATGCAATTTTCCGGAAAATAGCATTTTCCGAAAACAATTTATTCCGAAAAAATATCAGTATTTTGATAAAGAACGGAATATTACAAAAAAATGGCAATTGATTTTTTGGTATAATTTTATAAAGAAGGGAATATTTTGTTCTTTGAAAATTTTAATAAAAGTAATAAATTATAAATGGAACTCTGGTGAAAAGCTCGGAAAATGAATTTAGGGAAATGGCATTCTGGCAAATGGTTTTCATGGAGATAACACATTCCGGGAAATGACAACCCGGATATTGTGATACCATTGTTTGTTCTAGTAAATTTAAAAATAAAGCTATAGGGTAGAGAACTACTTCAGTCTAAGCGCCCATTTTGGGCCTATCAAGCAGAAAACATGAAATAAATCCATGATTTCGGCGTTAACAAGTGCATGATGCGTTTGTTAAGATACTTTAGTTCAAAAGCTACCGAACGAAGTCAATAAGAACGCGTGATATGAATGTTTGCACCCAAATGAAGTGCTCCGACCGAATCAATCTTTATCTTCATCCGATAGGCCAAAGTCAATTCATTGGCGTTTCAATGCGTTAGGCCGAGTTTAGAATCCGTAGGCCGAGTTTGGCGTTAAGAAGCAGTGTTAGACTATCTGTTAGAATATCTTAACAATTTGTTTCTCTTTATCAATTCTTACGGTACGTACGGAAAGGTAAATAGATTTGGAAGCCATCAGTCCGTTTGGTGCTAAACTACGCAAGATTAAGAAAGATTTAGTAGTGCTTAATAGGCCAGAAATGGGGTAGTTAGACTTCTGTTAAACGGCATTATGCCAAACGGGGTAGATTCTGGTACTAAACTAAAAGTAGCAGAGAACAAAAAATTTGAATTTTTTTTTTCGATTTTGTAAGGATCGGAATCAATGGAAAAGTTCAGAGGAGTTTTGTGTGATAAATGGCAAACATGGTGCAGGCCTTTGAGATATCACACGCTCCCGATTGCCATTTTTCGAAGAACAAATTCATCAAAGAATTCATAATTGATCATTTTAGATGGTCAAGGTTTGAACCCACCACAGCATGCTGTTGGCGCTACTGTATATGGACGATCAAATGTAAAATACTGTGGAAGTCACAGCATAGTTCTGTCCAAACCTCAGCATTTTCATTTATCCATTATTCGATTTAATCGAACGCATATTAAATATTCATGGCAGAAAAAAAATCAATAGCAATCCATTTATGTTTAGTATATTATACTATATATTCAATATCGTTATTAAAAATTACCTTCCGGTGACCCGCAATCAGTTAACAAATGTTTTATTTACCTATTTATACTAGTTCTAATCCAACCTGATCAAATATCGTCCCATCAATGCTACAACTTGGTATCTTTGTATGAAATCTATACAAATATACTTAGTTGTAGCACTGAGGGGGTGATATGATGGTTTAAATTTATTTAAAAAATATTTTCGCATTCTTATTTTCAATCCATAACTAAATACTTCCATTGTTTCCGTTTCGTTGACGTTAATTTGACAGATAACCCATGGGTCAAATTCACACAAAAGCAGACGTAACGTATTCATTGTGGGTGGTCCTTAAGAATTGTTTTCTACGCGCAGACAGGTCTTCTGCTCGATTGTGACAGTTCATTTGGCTGCTGATCGGAGTTTTCGTTTCTCTCTCTTACAGGGCTTTAGTTTCATCTTCGCTCGAGCTCTGCGCTACTGCATTTGTCTCTTGGATTCTTTCAAAATCGTCAGTCTTCTTTTATGTTGTTTTCGATTTTATGATTTTGATAACTCCTGATCATTTTTTTGAGCATGGTCTGTAAATAGATATTCAATCATGTATTTTACAAGCAAAACAGGGCTGCCCAAAGTTTCCAACGTTGCTTTTTTACATAGTTGTATCTATGTTCGAGCTCATTTTTCAAGATGCATTTAGTTTATTTCCTAATCATTCTGGCTTAAAATCGCTGAAGTTAATTGGGCTAGAATGGTCTCATTAATCAGATTCAGAGACCACATTCGTTCTATGGACAGGCATGCCTTAAACCGTCTAAGACCAAACTAGGTTCTTAGCACCTCTGGTGTTTCCTATTCCCAATCACTGCTATGGAGGATATATATGTAACAAGCATGTGGAAAAGTAGCCCAAGTAACCAATGAACCCGTTCATTGTTTTTTGGCCGAATCGTCTAGTGGTCTACGTTGTGTGTAACATTGGCGCATTGCTTCACTTTGCCTGTTGACACAACTGACCATTAAACGAGTTTTTTGTCCAATGGTATTGTTATAACTTTCAAAACGACAGTAGGGGAATTTAAGTATTCTCAGCGACCATCTTTCTATAGCCTTTTTCTCTCAGGAACGCACACATATGCAGTATTGGTTTGTTTACAATTTTTTGCTGTCAGCTGCTCTAACAATTTCAGTCGAAATAATTGTCAAAAACTGTTTTGAAACGCTTCTACAAAGCTTCAAACTTCTCTAGTGAGAGCGACTATTGTGGGCATCACCTTTTTATCGGCAACCTTTCTATTTGAGCTGCGTGTTAAACAGCTGTGCTTTCATCGGCAACTTGAAATCAGCAGCATTTTGTAGTGCGTGTGTTTCATTTCAAGAAAACCCTGCTAGATTGCTTTTTCTCAGTGGTAAACATATAATCAAATTGAAGCTGAAAGCCTAAAGAATCGTTTGAATGCATTCAGGGAAGTGTTTACGTGAGAAAATCCAATTAAATTAGCGATTCAATTTGTGTTGCCGAAAATAGTCTGTCATGCCGAAACCGTCATGTCCCTATGTCAAACAACTGTATGTTAAGGTGATTCTTTGTAGAGACCAAAAATGGCCGCTACGTAGGCTATACATATACTTCCACTTCGAATTTTCAATTACACAAATCTCGGAAATCGATGCTCAATTTAACCTGAAATTGCTACTTCATGTATGCTGCAGTGCAGCAAACGTAGTGTAACAATTTTAATGTTGCACATGTCGTAAAAGCTTATATTTGTGCACATAATGTTTCGAAGTGGCTCCGGAAATAAGGATATCACAGCGAATCACCTTAAACTATGTTTACACGAAACGCAATTCACTTTTGACGTAAGTGATGAAACGTATACACAATTTGAGGGATTATTTTTAACGCAGGAGTCTGCTTTGGTGCAAAATGCGCACAATTTTCTCTATTATTTTAGAGATCAGAACATTTGTTTTTTGTTGGTTACTTTAGTGCAAAATGCATAATATTAATGCGATATTAAATAATTTGTATACACCAAGTTGGACGGATTTTAAAAAGATCATGTTAGTCTATTTACTAAGTTCATTCTATAATTACTTATTTTATCCGTTAATTAGATGTTACAACATCAACATACTTTCTTTCCCCATAACGGAGTTGATGGGCGTGGCCGGCAATGGTAATACTTTTTTGGTGCTAACCTCTGATTGGAAGCCTATTCACTCCCAAATAGTTTTCCTGAAGCAATTAAAATCAGAACGATGAAGTGGATACATGACAATTTCCAGTATGCAATCTACGAATTACTCCGTTATAACGTAACACAACGCATTCTATAATTTCTTATTTTATCCATTCAGTACTTCGTGCTGCATCTAGAAGAATTAACAGCTTTTCTTTGAACTAATTTTTGGTGTCTATTGTGTCCTGAACATGTCAAGTGGAGTTTTCTTGTTATTTTTGTGATAAAAATTCCTTATTTTAAAATAAACAACAAGCCTACAGTTTCAAAACTGAGGTTATGTACTTCAGCTAAAAAAAAGTTCATTGTAAGTGCATATGTATATACTAAATTCATAAATTACCCTCGTACATTAGTATTTAAAATCACTGTTGGAAACCATAATAACATAATGACAAAAGATTTTAAAACAGCAGTCTTAGGAAATTAGTAAGCTACTCGTAAGGTGTAGAAAATACTAGCAGTAGGTACTCGCACCAGGATGATGTTTGTTCAGTTGTGTCTTTTTAGAAACTGCCTTATTTGTTGAGTAAACCTACATCTATTGAACAATCATTGTACACGTACACTATTGTTTTACCCACACACAGTGCAATCTGATCAGCATTATTTCCGTTCACACGTGTATCCTATTTATTTCATTAATATATAACTAAACAAACACAGCACTCAGGTCAAAGCTCCGTTAGCGATAGCCAAACGGGGTTGCAGATTTGCGCTTAGAAACAGGTAGAGCAAAGAAAACATTGAACGATTTCACACAATTGGCGGTAGATTATTGGAACTTGACAACTACACACCCGTAACATATGAAATACACTAACCATGTTGAATACAACAATATCTAAGAAAAATGTAAAAGAATAAAATAAAATCACCCTGGTCTATTCTTAAGAAACCGGATGCACTCTGTAATCATTATCTCATTAAAAAAAAAGGAATAATAAAACAAATCTATCA